TAATTTTTATTCTATAAATATATTATAAAATTAAATAAAAAAATTAATTAGATGATAAATATTGCAGTAAATACATTGACCATCTTTTAGATTCAAAAAAAATACAATAAGTCTCACAACTTTAACATAATTACATTGAACTCTTTTAAGATTTTAATTTATATAACAGTTGGTCTCAATTTAATCAAAAATTCAATAGTCATATGAATAAAAAAATAATAATGTCATTTCTTTGATAAGAAATATGCATTTTACATTGTGTATTGTTGTATTTTTACACCATTTGCATTATTTTTTGCCTTTTAAACCTTAAATATTAATAATTAAAATTGTGTAATTATGTCAAACTTATGAGTATTATTATATTTTTTTTTCCAAATCTGAAAAACAAATCAGTTTAATTTACCCTAAATATTAGATCTCTATAGAATAATAATTAAAGTAACGGTTTAAGATTTTTAGAAATTCAATCCAAACTTTAAACAGTAGTTATACAAAAAATTAAGGTAAATTACCAACACCCCTCAAGGTTTAAACAAAATATAAAAAAGGTTGCTATTAGTACTTAACTAATTTCTTTAGACTCTCCACTTCTTTGAAGGGTCTGGATCCTCGGTCGCCCTTCTCGGCGGCCCTTTCCTGTAGCCCCCAAAACGACGTCGTTTTGGGGGCTACAGGAAAGGGCCGCCGAGAAGGGCGACCGAGGATCCAGACCCTTCAAAGAAGTGGAGAGTCTAAAGAAATTAGTTAAGTATTAATAGCAACTTTTTTTTTTTTTTTTTTAATTTTGTTTAAACCTTGTGGGGTGTTGGTAATTTGGCCTTAATTTTTTGTATAACTACTGTTTAAAGTTTGGATTGAATTTCTAAAAATCTTAAACCGTTACTTTAATTATTATTCTATAGAGATCTAATATTTAGGGTAAATTACACTGATTTGTTTTTTAGATTTGGGAAAAAAAATATAATAATACCCATAATTTTGACATAATTACACAATTTTAATTATTAATATTTAATGTTAAAGAGGCAAAAAATAATGCAGATGGTGTGCAAATACAACAATACACAATGTAAAATGCATATTTCTTATCAAAGAAATGACATTATTATTTTTTTATTCATATGACTATTGAATTTTTGATTAAATTGAGACCAACTGTTATATAAATTAAAATCTTCAAAGAGTTCAATGTAATTATGTTAAAGTTGTGAGACTTATTGTATTTTTTTTTTAATCTGAAAGATGGTCAATGTATTTACTGCAATATTTATCATCTAATTAATTTTTTTATTTAATTTTATAATATATTTATAGAATAAAAATTATATCATATATATAATTCACTATATTTAAAATATAATAAGACTCATCATACATGCCACATAAAAATCTGTACTATTATTAAAAGTGACCATGTCACTTGGTTTCCATGAATTTTCTCATCTTCTTTTGTCCTTGGCGTCAAGTGTCAATTTCTCCACCTGACAAAAAAATAATAATAATTAAAAGAGAATCACAAGACTTGAACTTATGACTATTGACTTCATAAAAAAACACTTTCACCACTTAAACAATATAAAACATGTGTTTTTAGTTTAAAATTAAAATTTATATTTTAAGCACGTCCATTAGGTGGGCTCACACTCCTAGTATGTGAAATGTGTACAAGAGTTGTTGTTAATGATAAAAAAAATTTATATAAAAAATAGCCAACAAAAATATATAAAAAAATATAAAATATGGGATTTTTTTTTTATAAATGATATATACGTTGTGATATATATCATATGATGATCAACAATTAAATCATATGCACTAGATGTGGAGAATTCCCCATCGGAGGATTTAATCCATCTGGGAGTGTCTTCTCCAGCAGTAAACCTAGGTGGTTGTAGCTTTACAATAGCTTCAACCATAGGTAATGGAAAGGAATTTTGCAAATGATTTAAGTCCCAATCACCATGAGTATCAAGAAGAGACTCCACAGTAGTATGCTCACAATTTGTAGTTTGATTGGTAAGTGTGTCCACAACCAATTCAAAGGCCCCATCACCACACCACCAATCTTTCCAAATTCTCACTTTGTTACCTTTGCCAAGCTTCCAGCGAACTCCCTGAACCAGGAGCTCCTTGGTATTAAGGATACCTTTCCAAATGTGTGATATACTCTTGCCTTTCTTTTTAAATAAGAAAGGCTGTTGTCCCAAGTATTTATTTTTTAACACATCAACCCAGAGAGAATTCTCTCCAATTAACATTTTCCATCCCAATTTGGAGAGAAGAGCTAGATTTTGATCTCTAGCCTTGCGGATCCCAAGACCCCCATATTTTTTCATCTTGCAAACCTGATCCCAATTAACAAGATGAACTTTCTTTTTCTCAAGACTGTCACCCCAAAGAAAGTTTCTATTGATTTTATCAATCTCATCACAAACTTTCTTTGGGAGTTCCAAAGTTTGCATGGTATAACTTGGGATAGCACTAGTGAAAGATTGTATCAGGGTTGCTCTCCCTGCCAAGGACAACATCCCAGATTTCCACCCTGTAAGTTTATTCTTCATTTTTTCCAAAATAAACATAAAATGATTTTTGAACACTCTATCATGCAACAAAGGGGTCCCCAGGTATTTCCCCAAATTACAGGTTAAAGGAATGCCACACATATTACTGAACTGGGCTGCTTTTCTTCTGGCAATGTTAGGAGACACAAACAAATGTGATTTATGAAGGTTAATCTTCAATCCCGAGATTTCACTAAACTCATTCAAGACTTGCAAAATAGTGTTACAATTATGCTCATTAGCTTTGGCAAACAAAATCAGATCATCCGCGAAAAACAAATGTGATATGTT